ATTACTCACATCTTTTTATTTTGGTTGAAATCAGACAGTCTACCTTAAAAAGCCATGTCCTTGGAACCAAAATGAGAGAGTCTACAGTCATATTATATTGGCGCTTAGGGACTGTCTGATTCTTACACTGTTTCCAAAATTGAAATCAGCAATTGAAATCAGCATCGCGGAAAACTATTCAAATTTATTTATTTTTTACATTTTTACACTGCATGACTATCTACTGTTAAAAAAAATAATTCTGTAACCGGAAGTTGTCCCATACTCCAGTGCGCATCCCATCTGACAGCCGTCATATAATCAACTTGCTGCGGAGATTTAAGCGTGTGGACGCCTAGAGTTGTCTCGCTAACGAAGTGAACATCGAGTAGTGCCCCCTGTGGAAGATGTTCAAGACCTTTTAATCTCCCCTTTGAGGGTTTCTCCGCTCCCTCGCGCCGACCACCAATCCACACACAAAAAAGGGGAGCTAATTGCCGGGCTATAAATCAAAATGCGGAGTGAGTTCCCCCTCGCTGGGGGCTGTGACGTCACGAGTTGCGGTTCTTGCTGACAAGAGGACAGGGGACAAAAGCCACTTGGCGGGGAGCTAATTCAAGTCTGTTCGCCTCACTCAAGTTCCGCTACTCTTACAAGAGACGTATTGTGATGGGACCAAACTAAGTTATCTCCCCCTGTTAGTTGATTTTATGCGATCTGATTTTCATAAAATGACGCTATGCAATTCAGCGTGGTAACAAAAATGAACCCTATTATTTTTTGCATGATATTTTTTTTCAAAAACTTATAATAATTTAATACAATCATAATAAAATGAAAATAATTATAATAAATATCTTGCAACTAAATGTATATTTTTAGAATGATTTAAAATTGTATCAAATATTTTCATAAAATAATTTTTAAATTAAGCTGTCATGTAATTTAAAGATTTCTATAAGTTTTGTTTGAGAACCGCGTATATTTCCTTGTTTTTGAACAGTGGGGTGTTGGGGGTGTTGGGTGTGTTTGAAAACCCACAAGAGAGGCCAACAGTGTCGAAAATTCGATCGCTACCCGTAGAATCACTTGAGACGACTTGGTGTTCACTGTCTAACTCTACGACCCCCGACCCCCGATCCCACTTTTACCCCTCCCTACCCCCATGCTATAATCGAGTAGGCGGAACAGGAAGCCATATTTACCCTTCTTGACCCCCCAGCCGCAAAGGGAACGAACTCAGCATCAGAAACCACGAACATCCCCATCTGCCGCGTATTGTCCTTCAATTCCGCGGCTTTCTTTGATTTCCATTGGTCCAATTGTTCTTAATTAGTCGTCAGGAACCACAAGGACCCCCCCTTCCCCCCCCTCCCTTCCCCTCCGTCTGGAAATGTTGGGGGGTGGCGCAATAAGTGTGTGTGGGTGTGGGGGTGGGTGTGTGTGTGTGGGGGGGGGGGGTTAATCTCAATTTGATTCCTGGTCACTCAGCCAAATAATTACAACACGGTAATTTTTTTTTTTCGTCCGGGGACCTTGCCATTGAAATATGAAATTTGATATAAATTGTCATCTAGTTCGGTGGTTAGTTTCTTCACAGAGAGCGTGCAGCCAAAAAAAAAAAGGATAAAAATATTAGCAAAAATTTCTCTCGTAATGATAGCTAACCCAAATCTAACTAAATCCATAGCCCTAACAGAAATTCTAACAGAGTCTAAACCATAGCTTAATAATACACCTCTAAGTTTGTATGGTTTTATGTGAGAAATCACCGGATTTTATAAGAGTTGATCAACAGAATCTTAGATAGACATTAACAGATGTAGTTGGATTGTATTCTAATGTACTGTGTTTGTAAAGGCATACATTTTGTTATATTAATTATATTTGTGTTGATCAATTGCAATTAACTTAAGCACCAGATAGGCTTTTATGTAAAATTTGAAGAATTTACGTCCTCTGTTAGTAGCTGATTATTCAAAATAGATTTAGTTGAGACCAACATCTGCTTTTCCTCGTTTGTGTACAAGACACGACATGAGGCAACCACAGAAAGCTCTTTCCACTTTTTGCCGGTCTCAGGCAATTTTATTGGCAGCCCCCCCCCCTCCCCCCCCCCCCCCCCAAGATAGACCTGCTCTTGTCAGTTTTTGTGGGGGATTTTTTTTTTTGTCTACACGGATAGTTGAAACGGAAGAGGTAAAGTTTATAATAAAAAATTCTCGTAGAATGAACAAGGCTACTAAAAAAATAAAAATAAAAAATAAAAATAAACTTACCATGTGAGTCTAGACCAGGGGCGTAGCGAGGGGGGGGGGGGCGGGGGGGTGCGGGACCGCACCGGTTGACACCATTTAGGGGGGTGACACCAAGGCAAAAAATAGCAAAATATATAGAGAAATACTTGACGGGGGGGGGGGTGCAAATCGAAAGTTTGAGGGGGGGGGGGGGTGCAAATCGAAAGTTTGAGGGGGGGGGGTGCAAATCGAAAACTTGAAAGTTTGTCCCCGGGAAGGGTCGCAACGCCTCTGGGGGGGGGTGACACCATTAAGTGCCGCACCGGTGACACCCGACCTCGCTACGCCACTGGTCTAGACGTAAGGTGTATAGCCAAGCCTGATTACACTGTTCAGTTCATACAACTGTTCATCCACACCATCATCTTTAGCCGTTTGTTCCCAAGGTATATGGGGTAGATAAAGTAGAGTTCGCCTGTTTCATTAAACTATTACATGTGGTTATTTTAAATAGGAAATATAACTGTTTTTGAATAATAACATAAATGTACGTGTCTTTTTTTTAAATATAGTTTTTACAAAAAGTTATTTAAGTATATGCAATGTTCCAAATATTTCTTTAAGTCCGGTTAGTTAAATTTTAAGCAGCAGTGTTTTTAAATTTTCCAATGGGGGGAGGGGGGGCACTGGTAAAGTATTTTATATATTTCTATACAACTTATATTTCGTTCAAGGGTGGGGCGGAAGACGTATTTAGGGGCATTGCCCCACCCCTTAAGAGATGTCTGAAAGAAACTCTGTTAAACAAAAACAATATTGTCTGAACGGAAGAAAACTTGTCTCACGAGTGTGTGATCAGGGTAGGCTTAGGTGTGTGTGTGTGGGGGGGGGGGGCTTGTGTGCTGTGCTGTATGTGTGTGCTATGTGTATTATAATCGACAACTACAAATATAGTTGACACTTTTAAAAAAAAAAATCGACGGTTAACCTTGACCTAACAATAAAAATAAATATGGTGACAAGTCTTTGAATTTTTTTTCTAAAAAAAAAACGCAATGCTTCATTAATCCAAATATAACCATTCACAATAATTATGTTTTTTTAGGCGTAATCCCACCCCCGCTTTCTCCATCCCCTCCCGCTAACGACTTCCGGTTTTCTATTCAATGACCACAACCCTTTCCCCCCCACATACACAATGGATATGCTTTACACTCTTCATGCCAGATTTTTCAAACCCACACACACCCACACACCCAATCTAAAAATAACCATTTAATTGAGTCAGGAAGGGCAGTGCAGTGAAAAGCGCATAAAGCAGGGCCGCACTGATATAATGACACTGATGATACGCCTGCTGCCCCGTGCCCATCTTTCCCTACAGTCGAAGTCCCGGCTTAATTGGGAATGAAAAGGGTGAGCACCCTAAACTAGAAAACAGCTTAATTTGGCAGTGGTCGCCCCCCTTTGTGACGTCCTACAAAGGGTGAAAAAGAAAGGAGGGGGGAAAAAAACGTCCCCCAAAGAAAATTGTCATTATCCTATCATTATTATTGTACGGACGAAGGGATAATTCAGCGTAACGACGGCGATGGGTTATGGCCCTTTAGCTCCTCAGGTAATGATAGGGGAAGTAACCCACGCCCGTCCCCTGGCAGCGCATTTCGCTACCCGGATTTATTTCTACGCCCTTATGACAGGAGGGACCCCCGACCCCCTGACTTAGGGGTTTAAACGTGGAGTTAACGCCCTCGTATCCCTCGGATATTGAGAGCGTTGGCCTAAGAATATAAGTCATGGTGTGGGGGGTGGGGGGCGGTGGCAGCCACGCCCGGGGGGTGACACCCACGTCGTCATTAGCTGCCGCGCTGTTCATAACGAAATTGGACCATAAAAAGTTGTGTTAAAACCAGAGGATTAACTTTTTCAGACAGTCTCCATCAATATAATCTGTACATGCCGTACTAATAAAGAGCGTCCCATTTTTTTTTTAAATTAGGCTCTCTATACGTTTAGTTACTAAAATTTGTAATTAGTGAGTCCGTTTGACGATTTTAAAAAATACAGCTACATTATAACTTTTTTTACAGTAATATTTTACTTTTTTTAAACAAAGCTTAATTAATTAGTAGCTGATATCAAGCAGCCGTAACGTATAAATATTGCTTCTACTAGGTTTTTTTAATTCGATGAACTTCACTTCAAGTCTATCATTATTGTCGATGCACTTAAAATTACTCTAAAGCTCCAAACACCATTATAAAAAATAAAGTTAAGTTCCCTTTCAACCCTGGCGGTCCAGGGGACAAGTGAAGTAGAGTTCACTTGTTTCTGTGACCTCGGCATATGAAGGGATAGTGTGGTCAGCACTATGCCCAGTCGCCTTTGCTTTCCCTAAAGCGAGTTAGGTACCCATCAGAGTTGGGTGGACTCAGATACGGCTTACTGATTCGAACCTGGATTCGAACTTGAGACTTTCGTGTTAGCAGTCTAGCTCTCGACCGGTAGGCCACTCGGTCCCACGAAATACCACTATAGGCTGTAAACCACATCAGAACTTGTAACAATCATTTTCTCTAAAACACACCAAAACTTGTAACAATCATTTTCTCTAAAACACACCAGAACTTGTAACAATCATTTTCTCTAAAACACACCAGAACTTGTAACAATCATTTTCTCTAAAACACGCCAAAACTTGTAACAATCATTTTCTCTAAAACACACCAGAACTTGTAACATCTTGCCTTTCTATTCCCCCCCCCCCCCCCCCCACCATCACAGCGTGAAAACCCCCAGCAAGGAACCCCCAAAGAGCAACCCCAGCAAACGCCACAGAGAGCGGCTGAACGGGGAACTGGACCACCTGGCCAGTCTCCTGCCCTTCGAGCAGAGCGTCATCTCCAAGCTTGACAAACTCTCCATCCTCCGGCTAGCCGTCTCGTACCTCCGCACCAAAAGTTTCTTCCAAAGTAAGTCTTTTTTTTTACAAACTTTTATTTATCTTCGTCATTTGAATGTCGTATCCTGTAGTCATTTATCCCGAAAAAGGGAAATAGCCCGAACAGACGATTTCTCGATGGTGACTGTTTCCTGGGAAATGTCGAATAGCTCTTTAATATACGGAGCTTCTTCTTCTTTATCCCTGAGCTTAATATAAGGAGCTTACATGGACTAAAATGATGAGAGTTTATTAGAAAGGGTAGATGCAGCCCCTTGCTCCGCAGAGGCTTAATTGGGTTTCTTCAATGTGTATGTACTGCTATATCAGTACATAACGAATTCTACTTGTGTAAGTAGTTTAATGCAACACCTACTCTTATTTAAACACAACACCTCTCATTTAAACACACCATCTACTCTTATTTAAACACAACACCTTCTCTTATTTAAACACAACACGTACCCGAAAAAGCTTGCGACGAGGCTAAATATTAAGTTGATTGGCCTATACATTCAATATATTTATTACACAACATAAAAGAACCTCACATACTCCCACTATTTTTGCTCCAATTTAGCAATGCACCTGCGTGTTTCGTGGTTAACAAGTCCCCTCGTTTGGTTGGTAAATTTATGACGTTTTATGACATTATTTATTTGGTTGGCAAATTTATGGCATGTTTTGTGACAATATTTATCTGTTGCGTTATACTTGGTGGAGCGGTTAAATGGCGACTTAAAATACATTGACAAACAGCTGATAAAGACCTTATGGTGTATCAAACAAAATCACGACACCATACACCCTTACATACAGGGCTGAATGAAGACAATGATCACGAAGATCTTTTTGATTATTTTTTTTCTTAGTGTTTCCAACAATAGATGTTGTATAGCTTAACGATCTTTAAGCTTGGATTGATTTTATTTGGAGGATATTTTCGAATCGATTTTAGATCCCTGAACGAATGTAGGCGTCATTTTAATTGATCTCATAACAAGTGATTGGTGATCCAAATCATTGGTGACGCGTTATCAGATTCTTGAACCGGTGGGATTTTCAAACGATAGGAACGGTGCGCTTAGTTTCAGTGTAGCGCGTGTGTAAGGGTGTTGTGAATACATCGGGTTAGGGTAAGGCCCGTCTGTATTGTAACCAGATAGTTGTCACGTTTATGATCACGTTAACTAGAATAAGAGGTATATGGACTAATGGCTTGATAGTTTGTTGTGAATTAAGAAGGACTTAGACAAATGGTTTGATAGTTTGTTGTGAAATAAGAGGTATATATACAAATAGCTAGATCGCTTGTCGTGAAATAAGAGGTACATGGACAAAGGGCTTTACCCGTTTGTCGTTAAACAATGTATGTATCGAGGTGATTTTTTTCTACTGATAACACTGAATTAACAATCGGGTTAGGTCTAGGCTCAGTATTGGGACTTGGACTATAGCTATCAACTATCAACATGGGTAGAGATCAGATAACCATGAACACAGAAACAGTTCATCTAGTTAATGTGAAGACTACATAGGGGTGTCGAGTGGGGAAGGAGGGGTAGAGGAATTAGTGGAAAATGTACTCATCTAAAGTTATATTTTCTGTGCACGTTTGTAATTGAATAGCTTGTATAAAATGTTTCTTAATGTATACAATATGTGTATACATGTGTAGTTATGTTATATTCGAGTTTATATTTATATATAAATTGTCGCCGTCTTGATCACCTTATCAAATTCTAGGTTCGCGTCATTGTTCCATTAAAGTATTGTACAATGCTGAAAATACAAAAAAATCTATTTATTATGGAACATATCTTGATTTTCATTGATTTGGCAAGAGCGCGCGCGCTTTTAAAAATATCGGCCAATCCGATTGGTCGACCTAAACCAGCTGCAATCTTTTGTTCTTCAACTCGTCAGGAGCACGTCACTCGCTTTTCGGTGACTTCCCCTTGTGTTTTTACCTGAGTTCCCTTCCCTTCTTCTTCTAATTGGATAATTTCTGAGTTTATAAATCTGGAGAAAAAACAAATCACAGGACACGTGCATGGTGAGTATGAAGGGAAAAGTTTCAGGACTAATTGCCAAAATTTGGGCACAATTTTTATATGTGGCGACAAATTAGAAGATTGAATTGACAATCTGACAATCAGCTGGCTAATCAACATGTGTTGTTGTTGTTTTTTTTAAATTTGTTTTAATACGATTATACGTCTAAACTTTTTTCGAGTTTTTTTCTAAGCCAATGATACATTTTTTTTTGGCGAATAGATGAAATGGTAAGCCTTGGAATGAGCCAAGGGACTTAAATAGCTCAGCGTATTCAGCTTAGGGCTCATTCGGACATTGATACTACTTAATTATGGCGTTACGTTGCTCACTCACGCTATAGAGATCATTGGGGTGGGGGGTGAAGGGGTGGGGGTGTGTATGTGTGCGGGGGGGGGGGGGGGGTGAGGTTGTGTGTAGGGGTAGAGGTGAGGGTGGTGGTTATGTGTAGGGGAAGGGATGGATCTGGGACATAACGTCCAGATTTCATTCAGATCGTAAATCCCCCCCCCCCCCCCCCACACACACACCCCGCCCCCTCACCACAACCCGTATAAGGGGAAGTAAGCCCGCGTGTCCCGGGAGAATTTTTTTTCTTTAACACTGTGTCAAATTCATCATGTCACCTGGGTAGCCAGCATAGAGGTGTAATCAGTAATGATACCTGCAGGGGGGGGGGGGGGCTGGCACCGAACGTGGGGGCGGGCGACCCGGGGAGGGGGGAGGTGTAATGAGCATGACAAATGTAGGATTGGGTTCGGTACCGGGTTGAGGATGATATATGGAACTAGATGGGAGGACATTTGGAGGGGGGGGGGGGGATGGGAGGACAGTGGGAGGACAGTGGGAGGAGGGTGTGAGGGTAGATTTATGGAAGCAAAAGACACGTCATTATTCCCAGCCGTTCTGTAAGAGTTACATTAATTTTAAATTCACTTGGGTAATGACACATCCAATCCCACGTTATCACCACTTAACAAATGATGCCGGTGGTTTTGTTGTAATTACTGCTAATTATTTGATTGAGTTATGGGTGAAACTTGTATTTTTGTCCACCCCACCCCTACATTTCATAAGATTTATTTTAAATGTAATTTGATATAAACCTTCTACATAAACAAACAAAAAAAGTTTTTAAAAATGGCTTTTGACCAATATATTAGTTAATAAAAAATTACAAAAGAAGCTTTGAATGAAACGATAAGAATGACATTTTTAAAACCTACAATAGTAGGTCTAGCATAAGAAAAATTACAAGTAAAAGCTTAATGAACGATGTTTTCACCCCAACAAAGGATGACATTCAACGGAGAAACAAAAATGACACTAAACAAAAGCATGACTTCAAAAAACTCAAATAAGTTACCAGTAAAAAACATAAAGTGGACACAAAACGTGTTCAAACAAACAAAAAATGCCTTGAAACAAACATAGCCTACATGAATTTTAAAAAAATAATAGAACTAGTCTACTTTAGTTTAAGTAGGGCATTGTCGTTAGGTTGTGATTTGGGCTGAATGAAGTTTGATCTTATGACTAAATTAGTTTAAGTGCGATAAAATTCTAATCATAGTTCAGCTACATGTTGTTTGTGAAAACGTTTGAAAAAAATCTATTGGATTAATACTTTGTCTCCTTTGTTAAGAAATCTTCACTTGTTTTTTTTTTACAAAACATATTTCTAATAAGTAAACAACATATTTTAAAGGTATTTCATTACTTAGAGAAGAAAGCATTGAAATGCATATGCAATTCATCAATTAAAATACTAAACTCCAATGTCCCATACTGTAATTAAAAAGTAATGAATGACCTTTGTGCTGATGACTGGGGTAGTTTTAAAAAAATCCAATTTTATTTTTTAACGTTTCCTGTCTGGCCAGCGTTATCCATCACACCATCAAGTCAACAAGATGGATATCTCGTCCACTCTCCATTTTTTTTTCTCTTAATGTTCGGTCCTGTTTTTGACGGTGTCTAATCACCCTCCTTGCCCCATCAAGATTGCCCAACCCCAAATGGGTTCAGACCGAACCCCAATTTCAGCTCCGCGCTCCGGCCATTACCGTCGGAGACCGTCGCCCGTCGCCCGAAATGACATAGCGTATCGCGTTGCAGAGAAAATGGAATTCGGTCCCCGGCGATGGATCTCGCGAATCTACAAACCGAGTGGAGTCGAGAACGGGCCCGGCTAGTTAATAGGAAAAACAACGGAACCGGCCACACATTAACGTTGCCCGGGCCCGATTTAGTGCAATTTGTATCACTTTTCGTCCGCCGGCCCGTCTCGCGTGGTTCGGGTCCGCATTGCCCCGGCCGCGTGGCGCCCCAGCCCGGGCCTGCCACACGATCCTGGGAGTTAAAAGCCAGGAAATGCCGACCGCCGTTTCCTCCAAGATTCTGTCATGTGGATTGCCCCAGCTACAGTAATTAACAAGGCCTTGCTCCTGTTTGTGTGTTTTACTTGCAGTATCGTTTCCAACGTCGGAGGGGGATTGCTGTTGACGTCTCATAGCGGTCCACCGGGTTTTCCCGGAAAATTTATCGGGAAAAATAGAATTTCATAATCTCTAAAGTACTTGTTTAAATGTCAGCTTAATTAATTTATTAATTGTATAATTCACTTACTTTAAAAAAAAATTAAAATCAGTTTTTTAAATACGGAATGAATAAAACAAGGGTAATAGATTTTGGGAAAAAAAAAGGTTTTAGTTCTAAAACCAATACCGACGCGAAATCTAGAATCACTTATCAGTCAAGTATTTTCTTTCCCTCTTTGATATGTGATCAGTCGTCAAAGACACACAAAAAAGGGAAATAATTAGGTTAATGGCGCTTTGTTGCGATCAGGGTGGAAGTTGATCCATTATGAGTTAAGCCACGACTTCTGTCCAATGGTAGTGCGCATTAATGACCTCTATTGGATGGCAAAGGTCAAACATGACCTGTCTCCGACGGTACCATGACCTATGTCAGACGGTACCATGACCTATGTCAGACGGTACCATGACCTATGTCAGACGGTACCATGACCTATGTCAGACGGTACCATGACCTATGTCAGACGGTACCATGACCTATGACCGACGGTACCATGACCTATGCCCGACGGTACTATGACGTAATGCCCGACGGCAGAGCTCAGCCATGAATTAGGACGGCGCTACATGACTTCAGGTAGTGAGAAATGTACCCGCTCAATACAATGTGCAACTCTACTTCACCTGTACCCGGCATTACACCTGATCATCGCCAGCGATCGGCCTGGGCATTGAGTCCAACGACGATCCCATCAACAGAATATATTCTGACCACCTTCAACTGACATAAAGACCAGTTTCAACCCCGTATCAAAACAAGAAATATTCTGACAGTCTTATGTCAACCACAAAGGCTCTAATTGTCTTATTAATTATCTTATCCATTTTGTTATTTTAATTTCCTCATTGAGGATTCCATGCCATAGTGTTGTATATGCAAGAAGAGTTTTGACGAAATATTTTCCCCATTTTATAAATCAACCCCATCTCATAAAACATCCCACCTCATAAAACATCCAACACATCTCATAAAACATCATCCAAAGCTAAAAAATAATTCTACTCTTGTCATAAAACTTTATTCCAAGTTTTCTTAAAGTATGTTTTCTTACTTACTTTCACAGGTGTACTTCCTACCCGATACGGCATCGAAAGTCATTTAATGTCAAGGACACACCTGTTCCATGAACCTGGATTCTCTGAAGGCGAGAGTATATTGCAGGTGAGTAACACAGCCCGAGTAACAAAGTTAGGTACCAGTATCCAGAGTTAGCATACGTGTAGTGGTATTGCTACTCATAGTAACACATATTATACCATGATAATCTCGGTACCATACACACACACATGCACACACACACACACACATATATATATATCTATATATATATATATATATATATATATATATATAGGTATATATATATATATATATATATAGGTATATATATATATATATATATATATATATATATATATATATATATATATATATATATATATATATATATATATATATATATATACCTATATATATATATATATAGGTATATATATATATATATAGGTATATATATATATATATATATATATATATATATATATATATATATATATATATATATATATATATATATATAGGTATATATATATATATAGGTATATATATATATAGGTATATATATATATATATATATATATATATATATATATATATATATATATATATATATATATATATATATATATATATATATATATACTGCGAATTCAATACTTCAATACTTTGCCACACATGCACATAGGTAAAAGTATATATCATATATATCAACTGGGGGAATAGCCGTACCCTCTTGAGCTACGTCACTGTCCACAGGTGAGCACCATGATATAGGTTTCCTTCTGCTGACGTCACGCGCGTGCGCACACGAGCATGAGTACTAAAAACTTGACTAATCCTCGCCCCAGCGCGGGGACAGTCAACCGCCGGCCCCCCTAATCCTACACCGGATGTGAGGATAACGCTCCGCCGAATGTACTCTATCGACACGAGTGGGTGATTAGCAGAACGAGTCTGGAATTGTCCAGGCTGAACTCTTGGTCATTCGTCACGTGGTCACCGGGATCCTCTTCGTTTCTTTGTTTGTCTACGCTAATTCGCATAATTAATGTGTTGTTATGCGCCGTTTTGTTTTAGTAAATTGTTACGCGAACGATATTTTATAGCTTTTTTTTCTCTAAACCTCACGCTGTAGTTTCGATTATCTATGAAAATAGCATTTGATTGTAATGTATTTCAGTAATTTAAAACTGTTCTTCAATGTTAAACGTCGATAATATAACGTCAATGGATAAATGAAAGAACAGCTTATCCTCAGCATGGGTAGAATGTGCTGGGTTGTAATGACGCGACCATTATCAACTGGGACTCTATAGTGAGGGAATATGAATTCACTACCATGTGGTAAATTTAATCTATGGGTGTCGTTGGTATTTTTTAACTTTTTTTTTCTATCAGACTAAGCTTGTGTCTGCATGATGTTTGCCTTCTGGCTTGTTGTCTGTATGATGTTTGCCCATGGGTCTCTTGTCTGGCTCTTGACGTCTTGTCTGTGTTATGTCTGCCCCTTAACGTCTTGTCTGTGTTATGTCTGCCTCTTGACGTCTTGTCTGTGTTATGTCTGCCCCTTGACCTCTTGTCTGTGTTATGTCTGCCTCTTGACGTCTTGTCTGTGTTATGTCTGCCTCTTGACGTCTTGTCTGTGTTATGTCTGACCCTTGACCTCTTGTCTGTGTTATGTCTGCCTCTTGACGTCTTGTCTGTGTTATGTCTGCCTCTTGACGTCTTGTCTGTGTTATGTCTGCCTCTTGACGTCTTGTCTGTGTTATGTCTGCCTCTTGACGTCTTGTCTGTGTTATGTCTGCCCCTTGACGTCTTGTCTGTGTTATGTCTGCCCCTTAACGTCTTGTCTGTGTTATGTCTGCCTCTTGAACTCTTGTCTGTGTTATGTCTGCCTCTTGACGTCTTGTCTGTGTTATGTCTGCCCCTTAACGTCTTGTCTGTGTTATGTCTGCCTCTTGAACTCTTGTCTGTGTTATGTCTGCCTCTTGACGTCTTGTCTGTGTTATGTCTGCCCCTTGACCTCTTGTCTGTGTTATGTCTGCCTCTTGACCTCTTGTCTGTGTTATGTCTGCCTCTTGACGTCTTGTCTGTGTTATGTCTGACCCTTGACCTCTTGTCTGTGTTATGTCTGCCTCTTGACGTCTTGTCTGTGTTATGTCTGCCTCTTGACGTCTTGTCTGTGTTATGTCTGACCCTTGACCTCTTGTCTGTGTTATGTCTTCCTCTTGACGTCTTGTCTGTGTGATGTCTGCCTCTTGACGTCTTGTCTGTGTTATGTCTGCCCCTTGACCTCTTGTCTGTGTTATGTCTGCCCCTTGACCTCTTGTCTGTGTTATGTCTGCCTCTTGACGTCTTGTCTGTGTTATGTCTTCCTCTTGACGTCTTGTCTGTGTTATGTCTGACCCTTGACCTCTTGTCTGTGTTATGTCTGCCTCTTGACGTCTTGTCTGTGTTATGTCTGCCTCTTGACGTCTTGTCTGTGTGATGTCTGCCTCTTGACTTCTTGTCTGTGTTATGTCTGCCTCTTGACGTCTTGTCTGTGTTATGTCTGCCCCTTGATCTCTTGTCTGTGTTATGTCTGCCTCTTGACGTCTTGTCTGTGGTATGTCTGCCCCTTGACCTCTTGTCTGTGTTATGTCTGCCCCTTGACCTCTTGTCTGTGTTATGTCTGCCTCTTGACGTCTTGTCTGTGTTATGTCTGACCCTTGACCTCTTGTCTGTGTTATGTCTGCCTCTTGACGTCTTGTCTGTGTTATGTCTGCCTCTTGACGTCTTGTCTGTGTTATGTCTGCCCCTTGACCTCTTGTCTGTGTTATGTCTGCCTCTTGACGTCTTGTCTGTGTTATGTCTGCCTCTTGACGTCTTGTCTGTGTTATGTCTACCTCTTGACGTCTTGTCTGTGTTATGTCTGCCCCTTGACGTCTTGTCTGTGTTATGTCTGCCCCTTGACGTCTTGTCTGTGTTATGTCTGCCCCTTAACGTCTTGTCTGTGTTATGTCTGCCTCTTGAACTCTTGTCTGTGTTATGTCTGCCTCTTGACGTCTTGTCTGTGTTATGTCTGCCCCTTAACGTCTTGTCTGTGTTATGTCTGCCTCTTGAACTCTTGTCTGTGTTATGTCTGCCTCTTGACGTCTTGTCTGTGTTATGTCTGCCCCTTGACCTCTTGTCTGTGTTATGTCTGCCTCTTGACCTCTTGTCTGTGTTATGTCTGCCTCTTGACGTCTTGTCTGTGTTATGTCTGACCCTTGACCTCTTGTCTGTGTTATGTCTGCCTCTTGACGTCTTGTCTGTGTTATGTCTGCCTCTTGACGTCTTGTCTGTGTTATGTCTGACCCTTGACCTCTTGTCTGTGTTATGTCTTCCTCTTGACGTCTTGTCTGTGTGATGTCTGCCTCTTGACGTCTTGTCTGTGTTATGTCTGCCCCTTGACCTCTTGTCTGTGTTATGTCTGCCCCTTGACCTCTTGTCTGTGTTATGTCTGCCTCTTGACGTCTTGTCTGTGTTATGTCTTCCTCTTGACGTCTTGTCTGTGTTATGTCTGACCCTTGACCTCTTGTCTGTGTTATGTCTGCCTCTTGACGTCTTGTCTGTGTTATGTCTGCCTCTTGACGTCTTGTCTGTGTGATGTCTGCCTCTTGACTTCTTGTCTGTGTTATGTCTGCCTCTTGACGTCTTGTCTGTGTTATGTCTGCCCCTTGATCTCTTGTCTGTGTTATGTCTGCCTCTTGACGTCTTGTCTGTGGTATGTCTGCCCCTTGACCTCTTGTCTGTGTTATGTCTGCCCCTTGACCTCTTGTCTGTGTTATGTCTGCCTCTTGACGTCTTGTCTGTGTTATGTCTGACCCTTGACCTCTTGTCTGTGTTATGTCTGCCTCTTGACGTCTTGTCTGTGTTATGTCTGCCTCTTGACGTCTTGTCTGTGTTATGTCTGCCCCTTGACCTCTTGTCTGTGTTATGTCTGCCTCTTGACGTCTTGTCTGTGTTATGTCTGCCTCTTGACGTCTTGTCTGTGTTATGTCTACCTCTTGACGTCTTGTCTGTGTTATGTCTGCCCCTTGACGTCTTGTCTGTGTTATGTCTGCCCCTTAACGTCTTGTCTGTGTTATGTCTGCCTCTTGAACTCTTGTCTGTGTTATGTCTGCCTCTTGACGTCTTGTCTGTGTTATGTCTGCCCCTTAACGTCTTGTCTGTGTTATGTCTGCCTCTTGAACTCTTGTCTGTGTTATGTCTGCCTCTTGACGTCTTGTCTTTGTTATGTCTGCCCCTTGACCTCTTGTCTGTGTTATGTCTGCCCCTTGACCTCTTGTCTGTGTTATGTCTGCCTCTTGACGTCTTGTCTGTGTTATGTCTGACCCTTGACCTCTTGTCTGTGTTATGTCTGCCTCTTGACGTCTTGTCTGTGTTATGTCTGCCTCTTGACGTCTTGTCTGTGTTATGTCTGCCCCTTGACCTCTTGTCTGTGTTATGTCTGCCTCTTGACGTCTTGTCTGTGTTATGTCTGCCCCTTGACGTCTTGTCTGTGTTATGTCTGACCCTTGACCTCTTGTCTGTGTTATGTCTTCCTCTTGACGTCTTGTCTGTGTGATGTCTGCCTCTTGACGTCTTGTCTGTGTTATGTCTGCCCCTTGACCTCTTGTCTGTGTTATGTCTGCCCCTTGACCTCTTGTCAGTGTTATGTCTGCCTCTTGACGTCTTGTCTGTGTTATGTCTGCCTCTTGACGTCTTGTCTGTGTTATGTCTGACCCTTGACCTCTTGTCTGTTTTATGTCTGCCTCTTGACGTCTTGTCTGTGTTATGTCTGCCTCTTGACGTCTTGTCTGTGTGATGTCTGCCTCTTGACGTCTTGTCTGTGTTATGTCTGCCTCTTGACGTCTTGTCTGTGTTATGTCTGCCCCTTGACCTCTTGTCTGTGTTATGTCTGCCCCTTAACGTCTTGTCTGTGTTATGTCTGCCTCTTGACGTCTTGTCTGTGTGATGTCTGCCTCTTGACGTCTTGTCTGTGTTATGTCTGCCTCTTGACGTCTTGTCTGTGTTATGTCTGACCCTTGACCTTTTTATCTGTGTTATGTCTGCCTCTTGACGTCTTGTCTGTGTTATGTCTGCCTCTTGACGTCTTTTCTGTGTGATGTCTGCCTCTTGACGTCTTGTCTGTGTTATGTCTGCCTCTTGACGTCTTGTCTGTGTTATGTCTGCCCCTTGACCTCTTGTCTGTGTTATGTCTGCCCCTTAACGTCTTGTCTGTGTTATGTCTGCCTCTTGACGTCTTGTCTGTGTGATGTCTGCCTCTTGGCATCTGTCATTGACTTATCTTAGCTGCCCTGTTCTCTGATGTTATCTCCATATATCACACTCAACGCTCTTCGCTTTTAAAATTCCGAAATTTTCGAGTGCCGAATAGGTTTTAGAAAGGTCCACTTCATCTTATTCTAAAAGCTCATTAGCACACATCTAGAACATGTCCAAATCTAATGGAATAGAGATGCGACCGGACTAGCACCACAGTCAGTCGGTATGTACATGCGGCGAGAAAGTCTCCCGGTCTTTGACCAGCACGGAAATCAGACGCGACGCTTCACACCGCAAGAACTCTCCAAGCCGGAGACCAAGATGGCGTCAAGCTGTGAACTACATGAGACCGTTGAGTGGTGAAGGGGAGATGGTGACAGGGGATTGGGGAATGGTGGACGGGGAATGGTGGCCAGGGAATGGACTTGATGGGGCGAATACTGCCGAATAGCTAAACAGAAAATAAAGTTATAATGATAGACTAGACAGGACACACTATTATAATGATTGGCTAGATAGAACAAACTGGTGTAATGATTGGCTAGAAAGACAAACTGTTGTAAATAATTGACTAAATAGAACAAATTGTTGTAACGATTGTTGAAACGAAACAATTTAGCAACAGATTAATTACATATATTTTTTCTCCCCCCACCCCACCCACAGGCATTGTATGGTTTCCTGTTTGTAGTCACGTGTGAAGGGGAGGTGTTTTTTGCTTCCAGAACAGTCGAGCAGTACCTAGGATTCCATCAGGTTGGTGATTTTCTCAACCTTTTTATCACATGGCTCTCGTATTGGATGTATGCATGCGACAGGAAAAAAAGTGTCAATCATTTTTTTTCAATAACATTTTAGTTTCAGATTTTAACAAACAACTAATTTATGAGTTGTTTTTTTTATACAATAGACACTTCTAAAGATAGGAGTGTTCTGATTTAGTTGTAAGGAATATTAGGTTGGGGTATTATGAAAAGGGTACGTTTCGGTCGATGTTTAATGATACAATTATTACTCCCACAGACATATATTCATGTGCACACCTCCACACTTAGACAATATATACATATATATATATATATATATATATATATATATATATACATATATATATATATATATATATATATATATATATATATATATATATATATATATATATATATATATATATATATATATATATATGGATGTCTCGCGTAGCCCGACTCGTGTATCACGCATGGTTGAACATGTGATTGATTGAAACCCCAAATCTGTCAGACCGCCGCCTCAGGTGCCGGTGCCATTCGCGAGCTGCTACCTGTGTCCCACGTGTTAACAGAGTTGTGTGTGGCACCGACCTAGTGGAGCCGTCAGCTGGTGGAGTCCTGGTCACGGGTCAGTGAGAAGCGGGTAACTACGGCGTGGCGACTAATGTTAGCACCCAGGGAGACAACTTGCCGATATATCGTCTTCACTATTTACACTTAGACACACTCACACATAGACACACACATTTAGACACACACACATATAGGCCAACAAACACACACACTTATATATATATATATATATATATATATATATATATATATATATATATATATATATATATATATATATATATGTATATATATATATATATATATATATATATATATATATATTCTTTTTATCCCGTTCGTGCCCAAGACACATGGGGCAGTCGAAGTAGAGAGCATCTGATTCATTGACCTCGGCATATGTAGGGATAGTGTAGTCAGCACTATGCCCAGCCGCTTTTGTTTCCCTAACTCAGAGACGTACCACTGATCTGAATCCGGATTTGAACTCTAGACTCTCTACCGTAAGACCACGCCCCCCATATATATATATATATATATATATATATATATATATATATATATATATATATATATATATATATATATATATATATATATTGCTGACATCTCTCTGTGTGGCTGTATATTTTTATATCTCTTTCATTTGGACACAAATGCAACCACTCTATCTCAGTATTCAACCATCAGAACATCCCCCCAACCATGACAACCAGTCACCAACCATCTAAACCAGTATCCACCCATTGACAACCAGCCCCCACCATCACACCTAACCCAAACCAGCCCGCAACCATCCCAACCGCCAATTGATCAGAATGCGTATCTTTCATACCCCCCCCCCCCACCCCACCCCGACACCACCACTTCTTTCCTCCAATTTTCCCTCCATCTTTCGGTGTTTGCATTGACCGAAAGTGTACGTAGTTACCGACAGTTGCACACGTGTGCTGGGGGCGATCGGGTTACACTTTGATGGTCTGATCTAATCTAATCGGCTCGGCTGATCTCCACGGCAAGCGGATATACCGGCCCACCCAACCACCCACTACGACAAAGATGACAAGCTGCTCCACTTTTTCGTTTACCCCTTTTTTTTTAGCTTGTTCGCTGTTTATTCTTGAAGTTTTTCGCGGTTGAAAGCAAGTCGTTGTCGAGTAATGAGCGAGGTGTGCGTCACAATGCAAACGTTATAGTGATATATTGTTTTGTCTGTATCTATTAGCTTTTCTATATACAGCACAGAAATAAATACATTTTTATCGTTTTGATTGCTTCTTTTATATACTATTTATTTTGTGTGCGGGTTTCGTTAAACATTACCTAGCTTCAGATGCATCACTATGATTGCCTGGTACAATCAATCAGTTAGCCCAATCAGTGATTGTATGCCACAATCAATCATTTAGCTCAATCCGTAATTATAGAGACGACTGGTTAGTCCAATCTGTGATTGCATGCTACATTTGACCAAGTAGAACAATCCATGATTGTATGCTACAGTCGATCTGTTAGCAAGGTAACCATATCAGTGATTGCATGAAGTAATCGATCATTTCCCAGAATTGTTATTTCATACAACCTATTTTCCCTTTCGGGTAATCAGCCATACATTATTTACTTTATAATATTTTATTGTAGCTGTTGGTAGAGTTGAACCTTGTCTTCTTCAGGTTGCTGCTGAACGCGCGTGTGTGCATGTGTGTATGGGTGTGTGTGTGTGTGTGTGTGTGTGTGTTAATGTATGTGTGTGTATGTATGTATGTGTATGCGTGAAGACGCTGACGAGGTGAACTTCCGATTTTGCACATTGAAAGCATTTCAATCTTCTCTCTCCGTTTTTTTTTGTGAGTATTTAATTACCGAAGCATTGAAGTCTATATAATGTATGAAACGGGTGGGAGTGGGGAGAGGCGCTAATCAGACCGCGGGGAACATACCTGTTATGAATTGTGGGTGGGACGTTCGTTGCGTCGTTAACCGGGACACAACAAAAAACGCTGTACGAGTTTGTGACGCTCAGAACACATCTACAAACTTTCCGCCACATAAATTTGGTCATCTAAAAAAAAAAAAACCCTTGTGTTCTCTCATATCAACCAGCAATCTTAATATTTTGACACGAGACCAAGGGGAATAACTCTAATCGCAGGAAGATAAAGCATAGAGAATAGCGTCAGATGTTTAATGGTTGTGATTTATGCTGAGGCAATCACTGGCAAGTCGGAGTTGACGCCCTTTAAAGGCAAGCAATTAATTGAACATAACTTGGTACGAGCGGTGTTCGGCGTTCGGCGCGGTAAATAAAATTTAAATAAAAGAAAAACAAAAGAGAGGACGATAGCTTTTGAGATGTGGTGGTTTATTTAGTCATGAACTACGTGAGAAATAAGAGGGCAGGGAGGTAACTGTAGTTTAAGTACAAGTAAGGTAACTTCCAAAGTAAACTGTCTGGCTTTATATTCGCAGATCAAACAAGGTAGAGTTCATGTGTTACTTTGATACTGTCATATGAAAGAATAATGTGGTCAGTGCTTTGAATAGCCGCGTTTACTTTCCCCAACTCGAGTTAGGTACCCATATAAGCTGAGTGAATCCGTTGGCGCTTCAGGAATTAAAAAATCAAAAACACAACTCTATCACTCAATGCAGCGAATATATAATCGATTTTTTAAATTATGACTAGTTAACGAATCCAGTTAATTGATTAAGTGAACTAACTATAAAATAAAGAACTAACTTTTAAAAATTTACAATGACGTCTTTTTTTATTATAACTAGTTAACTAATCCAGTTAATTTAACTATAAAATAAATACCTAACTTTTTAAAAACTACACTTTTATCAGTTACCCAAGACAAAATTATCACAAATAAAATAACTGAAAAAATATCCCTGGTTCAAGCAATACACGGCTAAAACCGTGGCCCCGAATAAAAGGGCACCCATCCGCCATCTTAGTTTACACCGAGCCATGAAACATAAGTTGGCAATTAACATGTAGCCTTAAAAAGACCTGCGTAAACGCGGCGGTGTATTCCTGGTGTTCGGAAATTCCCGCAATATAACGGCGCTGTTTATGGTGCGGTCGTTATTTCCTACAAGTCCACGGCGATTAGCTAATCTATTCAATCAGGGACTGGGATTTTGAAAAAAAAAAAAGAATTCTAAGACAGTATCTTTTGCAGTTGACATTAATTTGACCCAGGTGAATTGCCCGGCTGAAATAAAGGTTACAAAGCTGGTACAAATGTTACTAAAGCGACCAGCTTACTGCTATATGGACCAGCTGCAAAATGACATCCAACTTGTCATCTGCTGATGACATTAAGTTCAAGTGCGAAGAATGAAAATAATTTCCCACTTATCAATGATAATTAACTAACAATAAATAACAACGCATTTTTCGGCAGCAAATCGCTCAGTCCAAACTACAGAAATAAACATTTGTAAATGACATAATTGACCAACCATAAATGCCATTCAATCAACGATAGATACGCCTGTCATCATTTAGAAATGACACATACTTACCATCTGCAAATGACAAGTAGTTCAACAGTTTTAAATGACATAGTTTACCAACTAAGAATATCACCCAGTCAACGATTGTTACGCCTGATATCATTTAGAAATAACACATACTTAAAACCGGCTGCAAATGACACGTAGCTCACCAGTTCTAAATAACATAATGTATGTCTAAACATCTACAAACGAAACTATGTACAAATGACACATACTTAACCAGCTACAAATGACATATAATCAACCACCTCTTCTTGCCTTCCCCCACCCACACACACGCCTTTGTTCTGCCATATCCCTCACACAACTTCCCACACAACTCCGCCACACGATCCACCACATCAAATATTTTGTCATAACCTCCCTAATCCTGAAGGCACCCTTACGTATCCCATAATTCCTTAATCGGATCTTGCAAGACTACGTCCCAACTAAAACAGAAACGATTATTATAAAATATTCATAGCTCAATGTCCTTTTATTTTTATACTTTACACTCGTTATAAAACATGCAGGAACGGTAACTCTTTTGTCATCACACAAGGGAAGTAAAAAGGGAAGATTGACAAGTGCTATAACAAGATACGGTTAATGGCGTATTATCTTCTTACTAACACATTCCTGCGATGTATCAGAAGCTGAGGGATAACAGATTAACGATTATAGTAGATTATCATAGACGGGGTCGTTAATTTTTATAATAATCCGTGTTTGATTAGGGTTTATGGTGTTAGGGTTTGTTTGCTGGGAAGTGATATCGGTGTGAGACGAATAAGTCTTTTGTCTGTTGTTTTATTTAAAGGAGCATCAAAGTGGGATAACTCTTTTCGTGGTAATCGACCTTGATATCGTATTCTAGAAATTCTTTCAGTGCTGATTGTTAGAAGTGAGGGTGGGGAAGGAGGGACGGGGTGGGGGGTAATGTTGTAAAACAAGTTCTTTGTCGAAGCTGACGGTCCATCAGCAAGTGAAGTAGAGTTCACCTGTTTCTGAGACCTCGGCACATGAAGGGATAGTATAGTTAGCACTGTGCCAAGCCGCCTTTACTTTCCCTACTTTAAGTCAGCCCTATGTTTACCTGCCGACCTTCAGCCATACATCTGTTTACCTGCCGACCTTCAGTCATACATCTGTTTACCTGCCGACCTTCAGTCATACATCTGTTTACCTATCTACTTCCAGTCCGACATCATCCACCAGTCCGTGATGGAGCTCATCCACTCCGAGGACAGGGAGGAGTTCAAGAGACAGCTGACCTGGAACTCGATGCTGCCCTCAGACAAGTCTGGCATCTCCCTGCACGAGACTATGCTGCCTGGTGAGTGGGGGCTGGGCGGGGTTCTGTTCTACCTACCTCACTCTCTCAGACTACACGCACATAGACACACAGGAAGAGACACCTACACTTTAACAGATACTCACAAATAATTTCAGCACTTGACAACGTTGCCAAATGCGTTATCGACCCGGCACGTTTCTACCCATCTGACCTTACCTACCCCCACCCGCACAACTATCCTATCCCGCGCTTCTTCCCATTTACGCATGCGCACAATGCACACGGAAATAAGACACGATGTTATCATCCAGCGCAACATGAATCTGCCAGATCAATTTAGATAGCATTCACTACATCAACCTTTCTTTTTCAGTGAACAACCCACTTAACCCCCCCCCCCCCTCAATAACCTATTTACCTACCCCTTACTCCATTCACTATCATTACCTATACATTAAACCACGTGACATTATCACTCTCTTACATATGTATATTCAAAGTCATTTGTTACCTTTGTTTTTAAACCACTCAATCACACATCCCCCACCCCACTAACCTACTCACCATACGCAGGTACGCCACCCGTCCAATCCCACACATACTGAAACAAACTTTCAAATCGCTTTCAGCATCGGGCTATATTTCTCCTTGACCTTTAGCCCATGCATGACCCACAGCTAGACATCTTGGACCACAACAACTTTACCATCGACCACACGACCAACTTCACCTCAACATCACCAACAAATGTATTATCACTTGTCGTTTTGAAGCTAAACTAAAACCCTCCCCGCCGCTACAAAAGTGCAATACAAGTTAACAAATATAGAATTACTTTAATGCGCGCGCATTGAGTTCCGTCTTACTCTCGACGCCAAAATGGATGAGACACAAGCACGCGAGCCATTAGGGCGCTACCATCGAACAGAGGAAACAGTATCGATTCCAACAAGCCCGGCCGATACACAAAATCTCATTACCCCCGGTAGTTCGAGTTGCCTCGAGATTTATCTTTCTATTAAAAGTTTCCTTTCTTGTTTTGGTCGAACAAGTGGCCAGAGAAAAATGTGGTAAATATATTCAATTTGGGTTTTTTTTTCTTCCAACAGAAAACATGAACTGTTTACATCGGTCATTCACTGTTCGCTTCAGGTGTCTACTAGACAACACTTCCGGTTTCATTGTAAGTATTTACTATTGGTTTTTATTTTTCTCACTATTAATGAATATACTTCATCAACCGGCTGACTTTTGTCTTTGATTTAATAGTTTGGGACATGCCCCCTTTTTTTTTTTTTTTTTTTTTTTTTTTTTTTTTTTTTTTTAAGATTAAAATTTGTGTGCATGAAATTGGGGTAAAACGCCATCTTACAACAGCAGATTTGTGTTTATATCATCCATAGAATTTCTGTACTGGCCCATGCATAATATCTTTTACTTGACACCATCATCAATAAAAATAGAAATTTACTTACTCAAGATTGCTGATGCATGATTGTTACGACATTAAAATATTTTCTGAAAGAATCTGTGGCGCATTCCATCTAGTTAAAACGTCGTTAAATATTATCAGTTAAGTTTTATTTAGCATTAACCGCACGTATTACTAACAGAAATGAATGTATAAACATGTTTTAAGCAAACAGACCATGTCAGAAAATATTCTCTGAACTGAAAATCTAAGGAGCAATCGTTTTATAACCTTCAACGTAATTTGGATCAGTCGATTAGTAATTAATATTACACCTAATTATAAAAGTAAATGAGTCGAGCATGCAATTTTTATTGTATTTTAAAAAAAAAACTATTTTTAGCATAATAAAAATAATAAATCACGCTTTAAATTTGAATATTTTATTTTTGTAAACCTTTAATCGAATTACTAGAATAGTTGAAGTAAGAAAAAGTGAATACCAATGTTGAATAGGCATAAAAAAATACTTCATCTGTTAATTGTTTTATAGTCTACACATACATCACTGCGGTACTGTTAAAGGATATTTTAGTCTCTCTATTTTAGAATTTCTCTTCATAATGTCTGTATTGACTTCCTCCTCCCTCCCTCCCCCCTCCCCCAGACCCTGGAGATCAACGGCTGGATCCGGGTACTGCACGGTCAGGGCCCCCGCGCCGATGAGCCACAGCTGGCCCTGTTTGCCACCTGCTCACCTTTTGGGCCGCTCAGCCTGTTTGACATTCCCTCACGTGAGATGACCTTCAAGACCAAACACAAGATGGACTACTCACCCGTTACCATGGACAACAGGTAATTCTTTTAGCTGATAATTGGCAAAGATGGACAACAGTTAAGTCTTTTAGTTGATACGAGCCGGCCCGCGGCATAACATACGCCGCTATTTAGTTGTTTCTAATTTTCAATAATTCATAATTTGTGAATTCGACAGTACCAACGCTGACACTGAAAATATTTCTTTAAAACACTATAAGTAGCTCGTTAAGGACCATAACCCCCCCCCCCCCTCCTTCCCTCCCCCCCTCCTCCTCCCCCCCCCCCCCCCTACGTTTAAAATCGTTGGCTCTGCTTGTAAACATTTAGAGTGAACACAGCTCACTAAAACCATGTAGGGGTGGAGAGGTAGGGAGAGCGTTTGCAGCTTGTTTTCTAACGGCTCGAAGAAGAGAATTATATATATAGATTTGACAGAAGATACACAACAGGTAAGTCAGTCAGCTGATAGTTAATCCATTACAAGACGTAATAAGGATTAGATGTTAATCAACCTAACTAATTTTCTGCAAATGAGAATAGTTTATTCCATCAATTAAAAATAATGTTATCTTTCTTTTAGAACATCAAATCTGCAATATTTTCTTTTTAAAAACGCATAAAAATTGTTAAGAGGATTTATTAATATAAACATGAGGAATAGATGAAGTGGTATTTTATATTACCATCAGGATTGGGATGTTTTTTTTTGTTTTTTTTTTTGTTGTTTAATTTTATTTATTTTAGGGGGGGGGGGGGGGGGGTCTGCTAATTAGAAAATTAACTTATTTTTTTTTTTATTCAATAAAAATTTTGGATTAAAAATTCAGCAGTGTATTCTACCTTTCTTTACTTTAGCAACTGCTCAGTTATTTCCCTTCCAACAAAAACTTACTCTACTATGAACCCCGCTAGGGGCAGGCAGCATAAAATATGAGACGACAGCACTAGCAAAGATATAAAAAAAAATCACAAGAAATAATTCATACCCATCCGGTCTTCCATAAATACATTATCCATGATTGCCTCCCATTACGATTCACCCCCTATTGTACTTTCCCCACCCGATTAAACCAAGTTTTTTCTGTCCCATTGTCTAGACGAGGAACAGGGGCGACCACCGCGTTTCTTGCCCACGTTAATTACCTTTATTGGGAAACCCTATTGCTTGATTAGCTAAATTAATTATGTCCCCCTGATCAGTCCGGGAGTGAGTTAAAAAAAATAACTTGAGCCATATGGCCTGAAGTGACGTCACGGGCGACCGGTAATCCAGAGGTGTCAATAATTCAGGTATCGCCGACTTACGCCTAGGACGGCTTCATTGATTTTGTTAGCACACATGCCAATATTTCTGGTCATCTTCTAACCTCAGTTCAATATGGTTCAAGTTGAAGTTATAAAGTTATAAATACCTGAATCACTTATGTGTGTGTATGTATGTATATATATGCGCGTATTTATATAATTTGTATATATATATATATATATATATAATTATATATATATATATATATATATATATATATATATATATATATATATATATATATATATATATATATATATATATATATATATATATATATATATATATATATATATATATATATATATATATATATATATATATATATATATGTATATATATAATCTATATATATATATATATATGTATATTATTTATATATTTATATATTTATATTTAACCTATATATTTTATGTATGTAAATAAAAAAGTACATATATATATATATATATACAATATATTTCCACTGATATTAAGGTTATACTATGATCGATATAGAGAGCTATAACAATAAAGATAAATCTATTTGAAATGTATGAATACAAATTTCATAAAAAGCCTCGCCATCCAGGACACCGACCTTATGGCGCCGCATATGCCAATGTGAAGGTGAATCCCTGATCTTTATAAAAAATGGACCATAATCTAATTAAAAATTGATCTATTCCTCCTGCGATAAAATTAGGCTGGCACGGTTTAAAATTGATACCTCTATCGTTGCTGTGTTGCTCTGTGTCATGGAGTGTTCCGACTGTGTAGAGCGACATTGCATTAACTTTATTAATAATACGTTTTCACATATGTGATGTGACTTGTATGTGACATATATGTGACATATATGTCATATATATGAGAACTAATTTTTTAAAATATTTTCGATCCACTATTGCAACACTCGCTATTATAAATAAATTTTGAATAAAAAATTAACAGAAAACAAAACCAGATGCACATGTTATTCGGCTTTAGATCTTATAATTTCATCTGCATTTGTACTTTTAGTAACTATTTTTTCAATTACATGAATGTAAACCGGTCAGTGTTCAAAGACTTAAATGGTTCCCGACATTGAAATCGCCACATCAAACACATTAAGACCTGCCAAATAACTCGAATAATCAAATCACGTCGATGAACTGTAGGGACTGAATCTTTCAAAAACTCACCTCTCGTGTTTTTGTTTACAGGGGCAAGTCTATGTTTGCCTACAGTGACCACGAACTGGCCAACAAGTCAGGGTATGACCTCATCCACCCAGACGACCTCAACTATTTCTCGTCTGCTCATCAAGAACGTGAGTACTGATACAAATAATTTCGTGTGTGTGTGAAGGTGTTCTGTCCATTGAGTGACACGAACATCTGTTTATGTTGAATAACTTGTGCACGAAGGGTACTTGAGGAGCGCTGAAAATAGTATATTGTTATCGGTGTCATTGGATATTATCGGCTCCGATTGGTTCCTATCTGCTTCTATTGGCTACCATTGGCTACCATTGGCTACCATTGGATACTAGCGTCTACAATTATCTACTAGTGGCTACCATTGGCTATTTGCGTCTACAATTGGCTACCATTGTCTACTAGGCGCTACTAGAGTCTACCATTGGCTACCACTGGCTACTAGTGGTTACTAGTGGCTACCATTGGCTACTAGTGGCTACCATTGGCTAATAGCGTCTACCGTTGGCTACCATTGGCTAGCAGCGTCTACCATTTTCCACCATTGGCTACTAGCGGCTACCATGAGCTACTATGGCCAACATCAGCGTCTACCATCGACACCAATCGCTATCACCTGCTACCTGATTCTGTTGTTTCCCTGTATGTTTCCTAATCGCCTGGCGCTGATTTCTCCCAGACCTAATTACGGAATTGAAACTCAACTGGGCCACGCTGTAATTCAAGTCATTCACCCTAAAACAAATGGTGCGTGGTGTCTCCGTGACTACCCACTGGACCGTAACATGTTCACTCAACCATAAAACAAAAATAAAAATATCAATAGCTTACACATTTATCTAGCCCACACGATTCAAAACGTTAATTAATTACGTTTTAATGAATGTTTTGCAGTTATCAAAACCGGAAGTTCCGGTCTAATTTCCTACCGCTGGCAGACGAAACACCAACAATGGCTGTGGCTGCAGTCTAGCTGTAAAGTCATCTACAAGAACAGCAAACCTGACTTCATCATTTGTACACACAGACAGCTGACGTGAGTACTTGAGGAATGCTGTAGCTCTAGTAGTAAAATATAGAAGCGATGTAGTAGTCTAGATGCGATGTGTCTGTGTAGTCTAGAAGAAATATAGTATTGTAATCTAGAAGCGATGTTGTATTGTAGTCTAGAAGAGTATTGTAGTCTAGAAAAACGATGTAGTAGTGTAATCTAGAAGCGATGTAGTATTGTAGTCTAAAAGAGATGTAGTAGAGTAATCTAGAAGCGATGTAGTATTGTAGTCTAGAAGAGATGTAGTAGTGTAATCTAGAAGCGATGTAGTATTGTAGTCTAGAAGAGATGTAGTAGTGTAATCTAGAAGCGATGTAGTATTGTATTCCAGAGGAGATGTAGTAGTGTAATCTAGAAGCGATGTAGTATTGTATTCCAGAGGAGATGTAGTAGTGTAATCTAGAAGCGATGTAGTATTGTATTCCAGAGGAGATGTAGTAGTGTAATCTAGGTACTGTGTTTGATATACCATCGAGAAACGTATCCAAATATTTTAGAAAGAGACCTAACGTTATTCGATTTTTAAACCGTGTTTAGTGAAATGCTAACATTATTGACAAATTGTTTACCATAGGCACAATATCATTCCATTTTCATATACCTAACCGTCCAGTAATCTAGTTGCTTATTGGAGATTTACAAAAACGAACTTAACCAGTTGCCTTTCTCTCTCGCTCTCTCTCTCTCTCTCTATCTCTGATTGAGAAGATAGAGGAATTGAGTTAACTGGTCAATACTACTCTATACTTACCCCCTCAGTTCTATTGACAATTTTCAACGCTTTTAATGTTGACTTTTGTTTCCGTGTGTTTCAGTGAAGACGAAGGCCATGACCTATTCGGCAAACGCGGCAACGAGTTCAAGCTGCCGTACCCGCTGCTGGACATCGACATGTGCACGGGGTTCGGGTTCGGCGAGGACGAGCTGACCACCAAATCCAAGTCGAGCAAAAACAAAAAGAAAACCTCCGCCGCCGCCGCATCTGGCAACAACAGCAACTCCGCCACGCCCACAAACTTCACCGGCGTCGGCCTGCCCGGTAAAGACTGCCAGAACGGGAAGAAAAGAAAAGCAGCTTGTATCATCGGAGGCATCCCGTCGTACTGCTCCTACCCGACGGGTTTCACGGCGTACGACGGCGGCGGCGGAGAATTGAAACCGCCGGAGTCGGTGTACTACGGCACAAACAATTTCGGATTTGAACCGGACATGTACCGAGCACAGGGCTACTGTGCTTTAACCCCGACCGTGTATCCACCAACGGATCCGTACCGGCTGGATGTGGATAAGCACGGGTATTTCCTCGACCACAGGCAGTACCAGCACTCGAGTTTCACGTACCCGAACAACGGATACACGGATTTCGTCCAGCCGGCAAAGTACGGCTACGACGTCCCGAAGTACGGCATCGATTCCTACAGTTTGGACTTAAGCAAGCGTGTAGACGGTGGGGATATTACCCAGTTCCACCCGGACGTCCGCCGATACGCCTTCGACTACCACCACCCACCCTACTCGCACATAGACCACTCCCTACATTCCACCGACCGCTTCAGCACCGGACGACTCTCCACCATCGACGCCGTAGATCTCCGAAACCCGGCCGCGATCTTCGGCTCCAACTCGTTCATGAACACCGTAGAGGCGCCCTGCTCCTCCACCTCCCCTTGCTCAGCGTCCTCCGTGTTCAAGAACGTTCAAACTCCCAACAACAAAGAACAATCGTCAAAACTCAAACTCGGAAACATGGACTCCCCTTCTATGTCTTTGCCTTTCGAGGTTTCGAACCCGCTCCCTCATAACACAGTCATTAAATGTACACGCCAGCCCGATTCCTCTCTAATTCCAACGTCCCAGAACTTAAATCACTCCCTACCCCACGGGAATTCTGACAATGGTATGGGGCTTCAGACGGACAACAGGATTCCGTGGAATTCTTGCAGCAAGTCTGGTGGTGACAGGTTGAGTATGTCGACGGTCGAGACGAGTCAGCAGGGTTCGGATCTCAATGGCACCAAGTGTAGGAACAGTCTGGAGCAGCGCTCAGACAACTCAGTCGGCGGGGACTGCACTGACGACATGCTCAAAGCTCACGAAAACTCTATGAGGTCAGTTCGCATTTTTACATTTTCCAAAAATTGAATAATTTTCATTTGAATTATTCTATTCATGGCGTTTTTAAACAATCTTCGTTAGCAATTAATTTATGCTACTCTAAATTATTATTTATTTATTAAAACTGCTATGAATGTTATTTTTCTTTTGCCTTATTGCCTATTTAATTCAGTTTTCTTGCGATGTTTAAACTTAGAATGATACAATTGTTTTCTCTGTTGCACAACATAAATTAAGTAGCTGAAGCTATTATGGCTGAATGACTATCTTTTTCGTCTTCATCGTGCCTAAGGTTTATTGCACTGATGAATTTCGGATGGGCATACTGGGTGATAGTGTGATCGGCACTATGCCCAGCCCCCTTTGTTTCCCAAGCACGAGTCGGGTACCCATACGGCTGTCCACTCGGGGACGTCCTACAGACTCGGGCCCGAAAGCCGAACTCGAAACTTTCATGTTAACAGTCTAGCGCTCTACCTCGCATCCACGCCACTCCCCCCCCCCCCCCCAACCTTTTCTTATTGCTACCAAATTATTACACACAAGCTATTTATTTTACACTTATATCATATATATATATATATATTCTTTGATCACCATCGTTGATGACAACATGTTAACGAGTGAATATATTTAATTAGTTAATTAGACTAATTAATTACCCGTCGGCTGACCTCGCCATTGTTTTCACGATAATTAAAGTAACTTTTTGGTAATCAAATCAGCTTTTGGTTATCTATTTTGCAATCAAAGCAATTGGTAATCAGAGCAGCTTTTTGGTAATCTATATGGCAATCAAAGTCATTGGTAATTAAGGCAGCTTTTTGATAATCCGTATGGCAATCAAAGTCATTGGTAATTAAGGCAGCTTTTTGATAATCCGTATGGCAATCAGTCACTGTTTGGTAATTAAGGCATCTTTTTTGTAATGTATTTGGTGATCAATTTAAATGTGTATCTATTAGAGTATATATTTGATATCAAAGTAGATTTTTGCTAACCAAAGTAGATGTTTGAACTTGGATACTCAGATCGGCCCGAATTATCAACAAACAGCCGAAATAAAATAAAATTTCTCGACAGTTTTTGGTCAAAATTGTCAGTTTAAAAAAAAATATTAAGAATTGGTATCAAAAATGTGTTTACAAAACCAATGAATTAGAATTATCTCGAAATCTTTGATAAAAGACAAAACAAAGCAATGTTTTAAAATTATTTTATTTTATTTGTCTTAAAGTTAAATGATCTATGTTTAAAACTACACTATTAGATATAGTAAACGAAACAGAAAACAACGTATAGCACTATAGGAAGAGCTACCAAAAGAAATGATTTACCAACCCGTAATGTTCTTGGTTTCTATAGGCTACACGACAAGGACTCAACTGTCACGGGCATTCCGGTATCCGTTGTCAAACAGTCGCCCTGGCTTCAAGCATCGAACAACAACAACACCAACATCAACAACAACATCAACAACAACAACGGCAGCCAGAACCACATCAACACCATCGGCAGCACCAACAACAACCTCCTAATGGGGGAGAGGGACTGGGTGAGTCCCTCGGATTATTACAACAAGACGGCTAGAGTTCTCTTCCCTGATCCTTGTCATTCAGTCAAAGTGAGTGGCCAAATGTAGCTTTGTTTTCTCTGTGATTCGATATGTCGCTTTGTTTGGCATTAAGTTGTTGCTTTGTTTGTGTAGAAATGTTTCTAATTTTATGTCGAAATGTCGCTTTGTTTTCTCTTTGTTTCGATAAGTCGTTTTTTGGTAGAAATGTTTCTAGTTTTGTGTTAAAATGTCGCTTTGTTTTCTGTTTCGACATGTCCTGTTGTTGCTTTGTTCATGTGCAATGTTTCTAGTTTTGTGTTGAAATGTCGCTTTGTTTATTACTTGTTTCGACATATCATTTTGTTCTGTTTTGCTTCGTTGCTTTGTGTTTGTATTTGAAAAAAAAAAACTGCTAATTTTGTGTTGAAATTCAACTTGTTCGTTATTGTTGTTTTTTTTTAAATGCTGTGTTTTATGCTCGATTGTTGAATTGTTTTAAAATGCTGTTGTGTTATTTCTTACACATTTTAATTGCTTTTATTCAAATATTGCTTTGTTCTGTTAAACCGTTGTCTTCTCATGCACGGAAACGTTGCAATGATTAGAGTTTGTTTCTGTTGGTGTCTGATTCTAATCGGCTAGACTAAACTCCAGGGTACCGGTACATGTAGCATTGTAAACACATTGTTGTAGTGACGTGTGGTGAGATTTGCCACTGAGGACAAGCTGGAAGAAAGGGGGGTGGGGCGAGAAAAAAATGTAAAATAAAATAAATTGAAATTGACGATATGGGTTCCATCCCGTAGTTGGCTAGTTAGATATCATATAATATATGTCATACTCTCCGTTGATCAAGACCTCACATATCAATTTGACCAAAACAAAATGGTATAACTAGAGACTCTTTAGTCGACTAGCATAGTCACCCCGAGTACACGTACCCCCACACCACTAAAATGTTGCTTCCCTTGAAATCATTTTGTCCATAATGCCTTGAGTTCTGTTCGCGTGCAAGTCTGACGTCACTTTCCTCTTCTTGTCCACAGCACCTCGGTCTGAAAGTGTTCGAGAGGGGGGACAACCCGCTCCTGAGTTTTTCAGAGATGACCCACACGCTGATGAGTTCCACTCACTAACCCCCCCCCCCCCCTCACACACACACACCTGTGACGTCAGCAGACGGTGGTTCGTGTTGCAAACAGCACAAGCTTGGCTTGTTTATCCGTCTCTTGTCACGGTTGTTCTAAAACCCCAAACATGACACGGGACCATTTTATTGACGGGATGCTGCTCAAAGTTTTATGAAAGATGAAATAATGGACTATCTCAGTAACATCGGATAACGATCTAATAGTTTGGAAACATCCGATGGAATAACTAGTGTAAAAAATGTAGATATTATGTCTTAAGTTATTGACTTTTTGTAAACCCCCCAGTGTTTAATTTTAAGTTTACACATTGCCTGTACATATTTTTAAAATGTAGTTCTTGTGTAAATGATGTATCTTAATTAAGCCTATTCATAGTTATGAAGAGTATTTTTTTTCTCTATGTTACCACATTGAATAATTTGAAAAAAAAAACCTGTTTTACATTTTCTTATGTCAATTATATTTGTTCATTTGTGTTCACGATAAAATCAATAACTATTTGGTACAGAAGCGTAGCGACCCTTCCCGGCGCCCGGGGACAAACTTTCAATTTGGCGCGCCCCTGAAACTTTCGATTGGGACCCCCCCCCCCCCCTCAAACTTTCGATTTGCACCCCCCTCAAACTATTTATAATGCAAAAACACAGCTTAAAATGACATTTTAATTTGTTTTTCCAACCCATTTTGGCGCCCCCTAAGGTCGGCGCCCTGGGACATATGTACACCCCCCCCCCCCCCACACCCTCGCTATGCCTCTGATTTGGTATAAGTTGCAACCTTAATGATCTTGTAGCTGTGTTTTGAAGCCAGCGTTCATTATCATTGGGAATTCCCAAGAGAAAAAAAACCCAAACGGTTTGCAATCTGTGTGGTTATTATTAGTGGACTATTATTATCGGGAATATCCGGCGGGCACTTAGACGCGTAGGCTGTGTTTAGTTGAGTTTTTAAAAAACTATTTTCTCATTGATTTATTACTTGAATAGTATTTATACTTTTTTAAATGAATTACTAGATACTTGTAAGTGTCATTTGTTCTTTTTAGGTTTTGTGAAATATTTTTTTAAGAATTATTAATAAATACGTATAGATCTATATATTTTTCATGCGAGTTAGGTTATTTGATTTTTAGTAACAAGATTTGCTTTGTGTTTGAAATTCGTCAAAAATTAATATATCCGTCGCCAAATTATAATTATTTAATAGATGTCTTTACTTCGCTTATTGAATGTTGCACAATTGACAAAACAATAACACAAAGTCAATTCCGTTTTTTTTTTATTTAAAAAAAAAGTAAAACACAATTTTAATTAGAAAATGAGATTGATTACTCAATATATAAATTAATCTATAGTTTTGCTTTTTGGAAACAATTTTATTTTCGATATTTTTTTTTGCGACATTAGTATTTAGTATGATTGCATTAACTCTAAATCAAATGATAGGCCTACTTTTTAAAATATAGCACACACGTTAGCTAACCCTCCCCCCCACCACACACACACCTTCCACACACATTAACTGACACCCACACACACACTGACCCCCACACACACTTCTCACACCGACACAGCATCCCTCGGTGCGGGATTTAAAAGTTTGACCCACCCGGCCCGGGCGGGCAACGATCCGGTTACCCGGAGAACCGTTTCCGGTCGAAATTGGCACCTGGCACCGACGGTCACCATCACTGTCAGAGGGCGAGAATTTTACTGTCGTGATCTCCGGCCCGCCCCTGTGGTCCTGCTGCCCCCCCCCCCCCGTATGGTCCTGCTCCCCCCCCCCCCCCGTATGGTCCTGCTGCCTTGCCCGCCCCTGTGGTCCTGATGCCCGGCCCGCCCCCTCCCCCATGTTCCTCATTACACTATTTTTTTCATTAGCTTAATCAGTATGGGCAAAATAATTTTGAAGAGTAGCCTCCAAACCTTCCCGTCCCGCCCCGTGTGTTTAAAAATCAAAAAGATTGGAGTGGTTTGTTTCGTTGTAGAGGGTTAGGCTAACCATACAGTTAAACATAAAGTTAAACCTACAGTTAATCACGAAGATAACCATCAAGTCAGTTAACTATACAGTTCACCATAAAATTAAACACATAGCTAACCATTTCGTTAAAATATGGTTAAACCTGCATTTAATCGTAAAGCATAAAATAGGCCATGAAGTTAAATATAAAGTTCACCATAAAATTAAACACAAAGTTAACTATATAGTTAAACATTAAGTTAAACCTATAGTTAATCATAAAGTTAACCATCACGTCAGTTAACTATAAAGTTCACGATAAAATTAAACACAAAGTTAATCATTTCGTTAAAAATATAGTTAAACCTACAGTTAATCATTAAGTTAGTCATAAAATAGCCCACGAAGTTAAATATAAAGTTCACCATTGAATGTCAACCGTTTCATCCTAACTGAAATAGAAGTCAACGGCTGGTGTATAATCTAACCTCTACACAATTTGTACAAATTTTATTTTAAAAAAAAGAAATTAGAGGTAAAATGTTATGTTTTCATCTAGCAGTATATTGTCTATTTTTGTAGGGATGTGTGACGGATCAAAGTACTATCAATTTTTTAATATAGAATTTAAAGTATATTTAGAGAAATTCTATTAAAGAATTTTTAAACTTTTAAAAGTTCTGCCCCCTCCTACGGTCTTCACCACGCCCATATTACATAACCACTATGAAGATTCCTAAATTGTAATGAAAAGGTTTATAATTTCCATTACAAATAAAAATAAAATATTTTTCTTGTAAACACTAAACTTTTTTTTGTGTTAAAATAGAAATTAAATATTACAGATTTTAAAAACATTGTTTTTACACTTAAATATGTACATGAGCATGTTGTATGTATATGGGGAAAATTAAAAGAATTGTTGTTGTGCAATTAACAAAACATGACTATTGTAAATGTATACACTTAATTAATATGATTAAAGACATTTATTTGTTTTGGAGAGGTTCTATATTATGGTTGTGATTTTTAATGAGTTTTTTTTTTCTTGGTATCGTGCGATGCGTGAAAGGTAGTAAACATTTGCGTGTGGTAAATTACATAGGTTGTGAGTGCGCGTGTGCAAGTGTGTGTGTACGTGTATATATATATATATATATATATATATATATATATATATATATATATATATATATATATATATATATATATATATATATATATATATATATATATATATATATATATATATATATATATATATATATATATATATATATATATATATATATATATATATATATATATATATATATATATATATGTGTGTGTGTGTGTGTGTGTGTGTGTGTGTGTGTGTGTGTGTGTGTGTGTGTGTGTGTGTGTGTTTCTATTGTGATGTGTGGTGGAAGCAACGAAAATCTGGCATAATTAAAAGTCTGTGGATTAACTGATGAGATTTAATAGGGTAGTTATGACAAGTTTATGAATGATAAATGTAACGGTTATCACTTTAAAGAGATGCTAAGTCCAGTTTTTATGTGATGACATCGGGATTTTGTCATTTTAAGTTCTTATGAAATGTTAGCTTTTCGTTGTAGTTTTATTTTTATATTTTTTATTTTTATTTTATAAATGATTAACCAGCTTTTTAAATAAATGTATTTAACATGAATTACTATTTTAAGCGGACTTAGTATCTTTTGACTGTGAGACCCGGAGTTTTTAAAGTCAATTTGCCAATGTAGAAAAATAAATGTCATTATAATTAAAGATTGAAACAGAAAACAATAAAATGATTTGAAATGTTGGAAGAGTTTTTGTCTCCATGTTTTAACGACTGTATCACGTGATTCGAGTCCGTTGGGTTAAGATGGGTGGAGGAGTAGGGGAGATTAGCATTGATGATGGGGGGGGGGGGATATCAACGGCGATGTTAATTAGATAAAGAGGGCGGGGTGGGAGGACAACTAAGTAATTATATATTTTATTTGTTTTCGGTGTGTTTTTTTTTTTAATTCATGCTTCAAAAAGATTTAGAAACAGATAGGACTTGCAGACCGGTAATAGGCTTAATGTTAATGACGGAGATGGGGGTCGGGCAGGGGGGGGGGGGGGGTGTGAGATGAAGATGAGGTGGCACTAGAGGCATGGGTGAGGGGAGGGGGGGCAGATCCCCCAGCACGTCTAGGCCTGGTTCTCTCAAAGAGGAGCCCGGAAACTTTGGGCCTGTTGACGGAAGTCATTACAGTCCGGCTTCACGTCGCCCCGGCACGGGACCTATCAATCCACACGAGGGTGTGGGGGTGGGGGTGGGTGGGGGTGGGTGGGGGTCTTTGGAAACGGGTTGGCTTTTTTTTTTGTCCTGAGGCGACGTTGGAAAGTGGTGGGTTTAAAAACAAGGGGTGGGCGGGTGGGTGTGCTTTGGTTATTTAATAAAGTATAAATAGAAACTAGGGATTCTTGAGACAACGTGTGTTTTAGACTGAAGATAAAACAAAAATAGTTGATAGACTAGGAGACAGAGGGCAATAGATTATTGATGAATATAGTAAGCGGTTAAATAATGATGAAGTTACGATATAACTAAAAGACTATCGTGTCTATACACAGATTACTTACAAGTAAATAGATTGTTTGAATATATAGAGTAAACAGTGAACTCATAATGAAACTATGATTTAACTCACTGACAAGCGGATCTATACATTCGTCATATATAAACACATCGTTGGAAAACAGAGAAAGAAGTGAAATAATTATAAAAAAAACTACGATATAAATAAATGACAAGTGGGTCTATACACATACCACATAACTTATCATGGCAGCATTGCGTGAGGGGCGGGGGGGGGGGGGGGGGGGGGTCACCGTTGAATAAAAAGTTGGCAAAATAAACTCAATGTATACAACGATGTGACGTACAAGTTGATTAAATAGTAATAGCCTGGTATGTTATTCGAATGTGCTGATTTAATCATCACTGTTGAAACCAAACCTAGTATGTTTGCTTAACAAAAGCA